AATAATCGTCATCGCTGGTCATGTTTGGGTTAGTCCTTGACCTTGCCTAAGGTCCCCATCGGGAAGTTCTCTCTAGGGTTTCAGTTCTCGAAGTTTTAGTTGTTATTGAAGTACTTTGTTGTTCATTTCGAATGTCTAGTGAAATTATTTGAGTTAGCGTTCTAAAAATATGTTCACTCTGCCAAGGTCAGTTTTCGCGTAAGCCCAAACATACCTATACTAATAGGATATTTAAGAGCGTGCACTGAGGGCTAAATTTGACAAAAAGACTCAGTCTTTCAGACGAAGAGCCATTTAGAGTCATTGAGCAGAGAGGGAATGAAAGTTTTTGATCAAACTCCCAGTGCCTCCGTTTGCACGAGTTTCTTAAGCTAATTAACTCCATCAGTCCAACAAATCAAACAACCTTCAATTCGTTAACGGGACTCTGATTAGCCTAAGCTTGGCCGAGACGACCAGCCAGGAAGTATTTTTTCACAGATATTCGACAGTTTTTCCTTGTATAAATTGTAACTCTTGAAAATAAGGTTAGGAATCCTTCTGCGATAGAGGGCCAGTCCGCTAACATCTTGAATTGAACGCGATGCTCAACGAATTTTCTTGTAATATGCTATTTCCGCAGTCCCCAGTGTTCTCGCGGTTTAAAAATCTGGTGCCGAAATTACGTCTCAAGAACGAGGCCAAGAGCGAAGTCCCTCTCATCGTTAGAAAAAATGAAGTGCTGTGCTGGTGAAAATGAGCGAAAGTTTCACGAAATTTAACCTAATGGAGTGAGTAATAATTAGTGAGAGAGAGGCTATCAACTAAGTAATGGCGGCAAAGGAAAGAAAAAAAAAGGTGTAACTGTACCATTTCCCGGTGCCTCCGTTTGCACGAGTTTCTTAAGCTAGTTAACTCCACCAGTCCAACAAACTAAATAATCTTAAACTGGGACTCTGACTAGCCTAACTTTGGCCGAGACGACCAGCCAGGAAGTATTTTTCCACAGGTATTCGACAGTTTTTCATTGTGTTAATTGTCACTCGTGACAATGAGGTTGGGAATCCTTCTGCGATAAAGGGCCAGTCCGCTAACATCTTGAATTGAACGCGATGCTCAACGAATTTGCTTGAAATGAGCCATTTCCGCAATTCCCAGTGTTCTCACGATATTAAAAAAATCTGATGCCGAAATTACGTCGCGAGAACGAGGCTAAGTAGGAAGTCGCTCTCATCGGTAAAAAGAATAAAGTGCCGTGTTAGTGAAAATAAGCGAAACTTTCTAGAAATTCAATGTGGAAGAGAGAAAAGTAATTTGTGGGATGGAGAATATCAGTTGAGTGATGGCGGCAAAGGAAAGAAAAAAGGCAGAACTGTTCCATTTATGCACTGCAGCAATGAAGCAAATAAAACTGGCCGCTTCTGGAAAAGACCACAAAACGTTGTTGGATGCTTAGACGTAGGCCTTCCTCAACATTTCAAAGTTCTTGTCCAGCGTCTGCATGCAGCCTTGCTTCAGTTGTTTTCATGTCATCATTTGAATCTTGCTTTTTTCTTACTGATTCTTACGTAGCGGGGGCCTATTGTAATTTTCGAAACAAAACATGACGAAACGAATTGGAAATCTATAATTTGCAAAATAAAAAGCTTTATTTTTCCGAAATGAAGATCTGTATTTACGAAAAGAGAATACTCAGCCTATCAGCATGACAAATGCAGCTTCTAAGCAGCGCATTTTAAAATGAGAAAATAATTCCCAGGTAACGCTTTAAAACTTTCCGCAGATATTGTTGACTTTGTGGTAGTTCTTTTAACTGATTACCATTGAACCGCCTGTAATAAAGGATGTCGATGGTAGGTTAGCAATAACTATGACAATAATTATGGCAATTTATTTGTTTATTTTGTTTACCTTACTGCTTTTCATTGAGCATATTTGCTAACAGGGAAACGTCTCACATAACTGAAAGGCCCTCAACATGATTTTTGCTTTACTTATATTCTGCTCACCCAGTATTTTCTAATGAACTAAATAATAAAATTAGTAAATACCTACAGAGAAAGCACTTTGACATTGTGCTTACAGAGATTCGGTCACTCTATTTTTGAATAAAAGTCGCTTTGACTAAAATTTTAATGATCGATTTCTATAATTTACAACAAAAAAAAAAGAAAAAATATTCCCGTGGCCTCCAGTCTCGTAACTCTACAATTTATTTTCTAAATTATTTTCGTCATAAGAGTTAAAAAAAACTAGCTCATCCAGGTCTTCCAAATTGGTATTACTGTCCATCAAAATACTAGTGTTGTAGCTGCCCAAGGGAAGACCTTTGCCCCTCGAGCAACGCTTCTCTCGTGCTCTCCTTCTGCGTGTATTCATACTTCGATATATGCACAATTGCCATCAAAAAGTTTGCTCGTGAAGAAGGAGAATGTTAAATAAATATATTTGATCTAGAACAAGCCTAGGAATCCATCAAACAAAATGTTGAGGGGGGCATTTCAAGTGTATGTGGTTGTACATGCTCCACCAACATGATGTTGGACAAAACATGTTTGATCAGGACTAGAGTATGCCGTTGTGACTCAGACTTAACTATCCCTTACTTGGCTGAGCTCAGCGTTCACCTTAGATTCTTCAATTTTCATCTGATCATGTCAATAATCTTTAAAATAAATAAATTTACATCCAGCTCCCAGGCAGAATAGAAAAGACAGTCTCTGCCCAGGGTCCCAACGCTAAAAATCGCGCATAAAACCATTTTTTTATCATAAACACAACTTCTGGTCATATGTTTACAGGCAAGTGATGTGTACCAGTATGGCGGCCAATTAAAATGGGATCACGTGACTGAAAACGATCTGTATTTAACACACGATCGTGGACTGGCTGTTAACTATACGCACAACTGTACGTAAATACATGACGTGTGAGTTGTAACAAACTGCATCTTTACAGTCAGTTTAGCTGTCAGTTCCTTCTAAAAAATATTACAAACAGTTGGTCATGCGAGTTAAAAAAAAAAAACTGGCTCAGGCCGGGTCTTCCAAATTGGTATTACTGTCCATATAAATACCAATGTGGTAGCCGCCCATGGAAAGACCTTTTCCCCTCGAGCAATGCTTCTCTCGTGCTCACGATTGCCATCAGAAATTTTGCCCGTAAAGAAGGAGAATGTTGAATATATATGTTTGATTTAGAACAAACCTAGGAATCCATCAAACACAATGTTCAGGGAGGCATTTCAAGTGTATGTGGTTGTACATGCTCCACCAACATTATGTTGGACAAAACATGTTTGATCAGGACTAGAGTATACAGTCGACTCCGATGTAACTATCCATTATTTGGCTGAGCTCAGTGTTCACCTTAGATTCTTCGATTTCCATCTGATCATGTCAATGATCTTTAAAATAAAGAGATTTGCATCCAGCTCCCGGGCAGAATAGAAAAGAGAGTCTCTGCCAGAACTGCTATGTCGCACATGATGGCCTGCGGTTTTGTTACTATTATGCGCACGCATGCCATGTGCGCCTGTCGTTGAATGTAAACCGCCATGTTTGATTAAACCTTGTTGTGTTGTACTAGTTTGATTCATTCAATTCCGCGAGACACAACTGATTGGCGACTAGGATTTAGATCCTACGCAGCAACCAGAGAAACTTCGAGCTTTCGCCACTATGCCGATTGGAAAGATTGAAGCGTTTGACGAAACGAACAACGATTGGAACGCCTATGTGGAACGTGTAGAGCAATACTTCTTCGCCAACGAAATCAAGGACAACAAGCAAGTGGCCGTAATGCTAAGCTTAATGGGAAACAAAATGTATGGATTACTACGCAATTTGGCCGCCCCAGCCAAGCCATCCAGCCTGTATTTCAAGACTATCGTAGAAACACTACAGAAGCATCTGTCACCGAGACCACTGCTCATAGCAGAGCGATTCCGCTTTCACAAAAAGAACCAGCTCGAAGGTGAAACCGTAAGTTCTTACCTGAATTAAAGAAATTGTTGCTGTATTGTGAATTCGGAACTAACTTGAATGTCGCGTTAAGAGATAGACTAGTGTGTGGACTACACAATGAACTTATCCAGAAACGGATGCTCTGCGAGCCAGATTTGCCATTGGTCAAAGCGTCAGAAATTGCCCTTGCAAGGGAAGCGGCAGCGAAAGACACACTATAATTGCAGGGTAACATTAATAAAGAGTCTGAAGTCAACAAAATAAACAAGGATAGCGAAAGAGTTCCTAAAGGGAAAGATGATGTCAAATCAAAATCTCAGTGTTATCGATGTGGGGGTAGTACACACGAGTCAACCGAGTGTTACTTCAGGTATAAAACATGCCGACAATGCGGAAAATTAGGCGATATCCAAAGAGTATGCCGCTCAGGAAAGAGTCAGAACTCTACCCGAAGACGAAGGGACGAGAACCCCAACCTTCACTCGTTCTAGGTTGATGATGAGCGCGATGATGATAGCTTGGTGGCATCCCTAGAAGTCAACAATGTTAACCATGGGGTAGTTGGTAACGTCATCCGGGTGAAACCAAAAGTTAATGGCCACACACTGAAGATGGAGCTAAACACAGGTTCAGCGATATCTACACTCCCCTTGGAGACGTATAAGGAAACCTTCCCAAACACACCTCTGATTGACACTACCGCTATTTTGAAAACCTACTCATGAGAGGAGATAACACCAGAAGGCAAACTACTTGTTCGCGTGGAATACAACAACCAAGTCAAGGACTTAACGTTACATGTAGTGAAAACACAAGGGCCGGCGTTGTTTGGAAGAGATTGGCTACACAAGATACAACTCGATTGGAAAAGAATCTGTCCTATTTCAAAAGAACAGCCGACACAAGACACCCAGAAGAAATTAGAGAGACTCATAGACTATTATAGTGAGGTGTTTAAGGATGAGATCGGCACATGTAAGTCAGCCAAGGTGAAACTCGCGTTGAAGGAAGGCAGTCAACCAAAGTTTTTTTAAAGCAAGGCCTGTCCCATTTGCCATGAAACCTAAGGTCGAGGTGGAGCTGAAACGTCTAGAAAAAGAAGGCATACTAAGAAAGGTCAAATTCAGCGATTGGGCGACGCCTATTGTGCCAGTTGCCAAATCAAACGGCACAGTTCGAATTTGTGGCGACTATAAGACCACAGTTAACCCCCAGCTTCAGACAGAAGAGTACCCACTCCCACGCATCGATGACATATTCGCTAAGCTAGCAGGAGGGCAGAAGTTCACCAAGATTGACCTCAGACAGGCCTACCATCAGATGGATGTGGAGGAAGAGTCACAAGAGTACTTGACGATTAACACCCATCAGGGGTTGTACCGATACAACCGCCTGGTATTCGGGATCACTTCAGCCCCAGCAATTTGGCAGAGATCTATGGATCAAATCTTAGAAGGGTTCGAAGGAACTAGTTGCATCTTAGACGACATGATTATCACAGGAAAAGATGACAAAGAGCACCTTGAAAATCTGGAGGAAGTACTGAAGAGGCTACAGGCAAATGGCCTACGAACAAACCGCGAGTAGTGCGAGTTTTTCCAGACGAAGATCACTTACTGTGGACACGAAGTAGATCGGCACGGGTTACACAAGACTCAAGAGAAAATTCATGCAGTTGTTAATGCCCCAAGACCAGAGAATGTCCAGCAACTCCGTTCATTCTTAGGCCTGGTAAACTACTACCAAAAGTTCTTTGCCAAACCTTGCCACCACACTCAATCCCCTTAATGGACTATTGGAGCAAGGAAAACGATGGAAGTGGACCACAGAGTGCGAAGAAGGCCTTCCACTCAGTAAAGAAGCTGATCACATCAGATATGGTGCTCACCCATTATGATCCTGGACGGCCATTGAGACTAGCCTGTGACTCCTCACCAGTCGGAATTGGGGCAGTTTTATCGCACATCATGGAGGATGGCTCAGAGCGACCCATAGCCTTCACATCACGTACCCTAACCAAAGCAGAAAGGAACTACTCCCAAATTGATAAAGAAGCCCTAGCCTTGGTTTGGGGAGTCAAGAAATTCCACCTTTACCTGTTTGGTCGTCATTTCACACTCGTGACAGATCATGAGCCCCTGACCTCAATTTTTAATCCTAAGAAAGGAATACCAGCAATGACAGTTGCTCGCTTGCAACGTTATGCGTTGTTTCTAGCAGGGTTGAATACAGTATTGAGTACAAGAACACAACCCAACATGGAAACGCGGATGGATTGTCACGCCTACCTCTAAAGAAAGCCTGTGACAAGGAAGTGGTTGACCCAGTGGAGATTTTTCAAGTATCCTAGATAGAAGTGCTGCCAGTCAACGCAGATATGATCCGTCAAGCAACTCAGAGAGATCCGGTTTTGACACGTGTGATGGAAAACACAAAGCAAGGGTGGCCAACTGTTAGTGAGAAGGAGCTGGAGCCATTTCAGAGGAAGAAAGATGAGCTCACCATACAGGATGGCTGCCTTATGTGGGGCTCACGAGTGGTAATCCCACCCAAGCACCAGGCAAAACTGTTAGTTGAGCTCCATGAAGGCCACCTTGGAATCGTTAAGATGAAGGCCTTGGCCAGGAGCTGCACGTGGTGGCCAGGGATGGACAAAGCAATTGAAGAAGTAGCAAAGGAGTGCACTGGCTGTCAACTTACCCAGAACAACCCTAAGACCGCTCCATTCCACTCATGGGAGTGGCCGGTACGACCATGGCAACGCATCAACATTGACTTTGCTTGCCCATTCTTAGGAACTATGTTTCTGATTTTTGTAGATGCACATTCTTAATGGCCCGAAGTGATACCACTACAACTGCTAGCAGAACAATTGAGGAACTGAGAAAGCTCTTTGCCACACACGGCTCGCCAGAACAGCTTGTAAGCGATAATGGACCTCAATTCATAACAGATGAATTCGGAGAATTCATGCGAAGTAATGGTATTAAGCACATAAAGTCAGCTCTGTACCGCCCAGCCACAAATGGATTGGCTGAACGTTCTGTACAGACATTCAAGCAAGCTCTCCACGCAGCGCTGGCGGAAAAGAAATCTATCTCTTAGAAGCTGGCAAACTTTTTGCTGGCCTACAGATCAACCCCACATGCATTGACTTGAGAGACACCAGCCGTGCTCCTCATGGGGAGAAACATCAGGACAAGGCTTGATATACTGAAGCCTAACTTACGGAAGCGAGTGGAAGACAAACAACAAGATCAAGAGTTACGGTCAATTCACAGCCCTGCCAGAAAGCTAGAGTTAGGCCAAGCTGTGGTTGCCCGAAACTACAGAGCTGGAAACAAGTGGGTTCCGGGGATCATCACAGCTCACTCGGGACCCTTGTCATATGAAGTCAAGGTCGCACCCAATACAGTATGGCGACGGCATGTTGATCAACTCAGAGAGTCTGCAGTGACTCCAAAATTTAATAAGGAACAGCACACACTGCGATTAAACCCAGCGGTGTTGGCAGCAACACCACAATCAGCAAGTAGCGTGGAGAATGAAGAATTACAGGCTCCCACTACGAGTGGCATGGAGGAACCATGGACCAAAGATACACATGTGGACAACACCCCTGACAACCCTCCCAGCAGCCAAAGCGAGACCATGGTTAGCAGTCCGGCAACACCACCATGCAGACGTTATCCCCTTCGGCTACGGAAGCCACCAGAGAGACCGAACCTGTAACTGAACTGAACTTGTGCGTTATTAATAGAATGTGATTTAAGGGGGGAGGAATGCTATGTCGCACATGATGGTCTGCGGTTTTGTCACTATTATGCGCACGCATGCCATGTGCGCCTGTCGTTGAATGTAAGCCGCCATGTTTGATTAAACCTTGTTGTGTTTTAAAAGTTTGATTCATTCAATTCCGCGAGACACAACAAGAACTTAAACCCGCACCTTTCTATCCCAGGTCCAACGCGCCAAACATTAGCCATAATAACGATAAGACCACAAGGTCACGCGCAAATATTGATTTTACCTTTCATATGCTGCATAATGATAAAATATTTATCAACCAGTTTACAATTATTGGTAAACAAGCTAACTGGAAGCTGGTCATCATGTTGGTTCGTAATAATCCCGATAAGTGATGAACCGATGATTGCGATCATTTCTTAAACAGCAGTTGCTAAAACCAAACATTCATTATTGATGTTTCATATAATCATATGTCAAAATAATTCAGCAGTTTAGCTCAGAAACAATGCAAGGTCAGCGAATACCAAGCCAAATCGTTATCGAAAATTGTTATATATTAGTTATATCTGATACGAACTTGAGAAAGTGTTTCGTTTGCAATCAAGGAAAGATTTAGAATTGCCCCTGTTTCTGATTTTATCCAGTCTTGTTAATAACCGCATTATTCATAGAGCCGAAGAGTGCTACCCACAATTTCTGCAGCCGAGTCAATTAAAAATGTTTGGTGGTAGTTCTTTTAACTGATTGCCCTTTAACCACATGGGATAAAGGATGTCGATGGCAGGTTAGTAATAACAATGACATATAGTATTGAAACGTTTTACATTTTCTCTCAGTATCATCATTTTTTCCTTGCTGATTTGCACAAAGCATAACAGGACAACGTTTCCTTCTATTGGAAAGCACTTTACATGTTTTATCCTTCCCTATGATCCGCTCACCCACTGTTTTCCAAAGATAAAATACTTTCTTTCCGTATAGCACGTTGGCTTTGTCGATCTCACGATCGCGTTTCTACCCAATTTATGCACAGCTCATCCAAGGTAATTTAGGGTAGACGTAAGGGCATTCATGACGATTACAACGAATAAAAAAAAATTTGTTGTATTAATTATATACTTAATTTATTTCATTGCATTGTTCATGTTACATTTGGCTGTTAAGAAAATAATTAACGTATTACGCCAACTCTGATCTGCCAACTCGTTAATTATGTGGATCAACCCTATTTGGCTCGTGATAACAAAACCGAGGAAAATAAACAAAACAAAACAAAAATGCAAAATACTTGTTTTTGCATCTATCAATTTATCAGTTGATATATACTTACAGATGAGTTAAGCTGGTCAGGTTGTCAAATATTCCCTCTGGCAACGTTTGGAGCTCGTTGTCGTAGACGGCACTATAGTTGGGTTAAAAAGAAGAAAAAAATCAGAAGTTCAGACTAAAACAGTCTATTCTCTCTTCAACATTGGGTAGACCAGTTTCTTCTTGGTTGTGATCGATTCTAAAAGCTGCAGCTAGTCATTCATTACCCGCATGTTAAGTTACGACTAACGTTCTTGCTTCTACTCATTATTCCAATACTTATTTCAAGGATTACTCTGTTATTTATTGTCAGGCTTGAATAACAGGTAAGCATGAACAAGTACAATTTATTTGAATTAATTTTCATCAGATTCCCTTACGATAATGGCGAGCTCACTAAAATTTGCCACGCTCTCGACTCTTACTGTCTCTCAGTCGGTAGTAGCGACCAAGCACTATTCGATAGCACGAGTTTGAATCCAGTCGCAGCACGAATATTTGTTATGCTTCTTTTTTGAAATTTCTATAGACGCACGGTCAACTTGCAAGGATCCTACCCTCAGTAGTTTATCATCCTTGGTCAAAGTTTAATTCTTAAAAGACCGACATGTTACTTTTCTTTGATGACACTGATCAGCACTCACTCAAAGGATAAATAATGAGTTTACTATACAATACTTATAATTTTTAATAAGGTTAAAATTTAAAATGCTTATGTTATGAGAGAGAAACAACAAAATCGCCATACGAAACGTATCTGTCGATCAATGTAGCAGTTTAGTGTTTAACTAAAATGTCTACGTCTTTCAAATATTCACTTTTGAGTGTGTGTTGTTAATGAAATTTTTCGCGTTGCCTCTCTCTGACTTTCCCGGCCAGCTGTGTTCTGAACAAAGTTTTGTGTTGAAGAATTATTTCTGAGGAAATGCCTTCAGCGAAGCCTTTGTTATGCGCGTTGCGTAGAAAGTGAACTAGAATGTCTCTGTTGGTTTGAAGTGGGTTCTTATATCGAGAACTGACTCTCTGTTGAATCTTTTACCCTTACAGACCGTTGTGTCTAAGAATTAGCTTCTGATATTTAAGCCGTTATGATTGTTGTATGATGTTTATTAACTTGGTCAATGAACTGGTTGATGACCTTGTCAATCGCGAAAATTAAGACCCGCGAAAATGGTAAGGTAAGTTAAGCGAATTCCAAGCCAAATCATTACCAAAAATAGTTCAAGATCAACAACGTCTGATAAAATCTTAAGAGAATGTTTCACATAAATTACGTACTGCAATCAAGGACAATTTAGGATTGGTCCTGTTCTTGATTTTAAGCAGCCAGAGAGTGCTACTCACAAGACGCAGCGTATTAGCTGCTCATTCAGAACTCAGAAAAGAATCATTAAGTAACGCTAAGTTAAATTATTTTGTAAATAAACCTCTTCTGGCGGCTAGGATGTTGACCGAAAAATGAATATTCGACCGACAAGCGAAGCCTCAAGGGAAAACTTGAAATTTTGAGGACAATCTCCCAGCCAAGGACATCATCAGCCAAGATACACCACAAAACCAGAAAGGGGGTCATTTATTTTATAACCCTCCCATTAATTTTCATCTCGCGCGAAAGCCACTCGTAAAAGGGTCAATGTTTATCGCATTCAAGACACGTATTTTGATATTGGTTATCACTGGACTCTGACGACTTTGTTTTTCTTCCGCGTAAAATAAGAGAGATGGAAAGGAATGCTTTTAAAGCCAGGAACCGGGACACGTAACTAAACGGCAGATGACAGCGTGGAAAAGCAGTCTGAGCATCATTTATAACTTTTAAGGAAGCGATCTTCGAACTCAGTCGTAAACAATTATCATGGACTTTAAGCATAGATTTTATTGAAAGGCTTTTGACTTCAAAAATGTAGTTTTACTGTGATATAAATTGCTGGTAGGATAGAAATCGGGTCTTTGCAGGGCCGTACCTTTAGTCCTTGACTCCTGTGAAACGTAGCAGCATGAAAAGCAGCTTATAAGCAGCACATTTAGAAATGAGGAAAGAATTCCCAGGTGACGCTTAAAACTCTCCGCAGATATTGTTGACTTTTCAGTGACTTTAATTCAATTTTCCTAGTATATCTTCTTACTTGGAAACTAATTTTTTTTTTTTTTTTAATATCTACGACTTAGTTGTCCGATCACTGAGCGCTAGCGATTTCTTTTCTTACATTTTTAATTACATCGACCACGATCTCTTAATAAAATTTCCGGCTTCAGATATCACAATTTATTTTTCAAATTGGAGAAGACGAGATATCACCCAAAATAAAAGTGCGCGTCGCTTTAGTTCAGTTAGTGTAATTATAATTACATGGTACTTGGGGACTATAGATATTTTGTAAGGTTTTCCATACATTCTGCCTGATAGTATTCCCCGACGTCGCAACTGTATTTAGGCAGTACATCTTTTAAATCAAAATTTTCTACTCCTTACATTAAAACCGCGACCACTCAAAACATTTTCAAGGGCTTTAAGGTCTTGAATATTTCTGGATAAATGCTGTTAACTTTGTTTTTGTAGATATACCTTTGATTTGATCGGAACGACTGTCAAAAACGCAAACAACACTCTTTTTTTGCTCGAAGATGAATAGTACTTGCTATTCACCTCCGAACTAGCCAATCAGTGGACGCGAAAAGCGCTATTTACTTGTGTGGTATATACTAACACTAATTAGCTTAGATCGTTAGTTTGTCGGTACGCATGTCGGAGGTAGTTGCGAGACGCGAGGATGGGATCGTAATTTGTATCCTTCAATCGCTAATAGGGTGAGGTATTCTACGCTCAGCCCTCGCCAAGTAAAACTGTTAGGTTTCGTTTTCTTTTAATTCATTATTTTTTATGTGTTGTCATGTTGGCACCTTGTTTCAGTTTAACGTGTACTCATATCCTTCCTTGACTTCCTTGACTTTTTATCATGTGCACACCATGTTTTACATGGGACGCCTGAAGTCCTGACGATAACACTACTACCTTGGTCGAGGTCACCTGTTCCCCTTTTTTTACATCTGCTGGCTTTTGGGAATTTCGTGTCCGGCTTTGATGCATTTAGTCCTCAATCTCAACACACATTTTGAGAATATGGAAGCTACCGTAATGATTCGATTTAGCGCCCGGATGTATATAGCAAGGAGGCTTGGCTGGACAACGCACTAGGATATTATTACCGTGTGTGACTGTAGAGTAGCATAGACAAAATGGTCATAAAGGCATGTTAAAGGCCTTCTTTTTACTATTGCTTAAGTAGTGTTCATTACTGCGAAGATCGCTAACATATTCACGTATTTATCCGCAATTCAAATATATGACTTTCATATATTCACAGCCGTTTATTCACCACTTCACGGGTTTATTTGGAACCAACACAGAATTCAGCTCCCAGTTGGCTTGTTAGCTCAGTTGGTAGAGCACTGCACTGGTATCGCAGCGGTCATGGGTTCAAATCCCGTACAGGCCTGAATTTTTTTCAGGCCTTCTTTTCACTACTGGTTAAGTAGTGTTCCTTACTGTGAAGATCGCTATCATATTCACGTCTTTATCCGCAGTTCAAATATATGACTTATATGACTCATATATTCACAACCATAATTTCTACTGTTAGAAAAAAAAACAACAAAAAAACACAACCATTCACAAAATTTCCAAGGACTTTAAGGTCCTGAATATTCCTGGATGAAGACTGCTTAGTTTGTTGTTGTAGATATACCTGTGATTTGATTTGAACAATGGTCAGACTTCTTTTCAAAAACGCAAACAGCCACCTTTGTTACCTGTGAGGAAGCAGTGTCAAACAACCTGGTTTTCTTTATGTCCTCGGCGCAATCAGAGTTTAAAAACTCAACGACTGAATAGCGTTAGAGATGCAGTTTATTGGCTGCTCATTCAGAACTCAGAAAAGAATCACTAAGTGACACTAAGGGTTTGTTGCAATATCGTTCAGTTTTGATATCGTCTACGAAACTTTGCTTTCTTCACGTTTTCTCTGTAATTGTGAAAACTCTGGAGGTTGCGGCCTACTCAAATCCTCAACAACGACAGCGCGGTGTGGGGTGACAATAATTCAAACTCCACTTGGTAGATTTAAACTGATTTTATAAGAGATCAAAAGTTCAAAGGTCTAGATCAATCGGTTGCGTTTAACATGAGGGGTCATGAAGATGGCGAAGATCGAAGATCGTTGACCTTAGTAGCCGTGGCAGTAGAAAAAAATAGTAGTAGCTGTAGGTGCAGATTAAGTTGTAGGTTTGAACTGTAGCACGATAATTAACATAAAGTCTAACTTAGATAAGGCTAAAGAGAAACGGTAGACTCTCAAGAGACATATAACAGCAGTAAAGTAGCAAACTCATAGAGTGAAATGAATAGACGTGATAATTCTCGTGTCAAATAAATTATAATCAAACGATGGTACAAACAACAGTATAGTACTAAAGAAAAGTAACTAAATGAAAATAAAAGGGTAACGATTTAAAAGGAAACCAAGACAATTTGTAAATAAGATCGTTTCGCTATAGTGCCGTAATAATAACACTTAGTTGACTAAACGAGACGTTCTATGACCGAGAAGAGGCTGATGTTTCTGTGACTTAATTAAAACAATGAAAAGACTTACGTACTTTAGTTGACGACTCGCACCGAAAAAATAGCAGATACACTTGAGATAGCGGTAGCTTGGATCCTACTGATCGTAGCAAAGGTAGCGGTGTGGCTTCAACCAACTTCTTTTTTTTAAACGGTACACGCCGCATTTTTATGATACGTGAAGAAAGCTAAGGCGTTGCAAAAAGTAGCTCCTACAATATATAAGAACTATTTCCTGGGCAGCAAAGATTCCAAAGTTGTGATACAATTCCAGGAAATCTCGATTTCTACCGACACCTTCATTTCAGATCACTAATTAACTACATAACAACAAAATACAAATCAAAAGAAAGTTTGTAGGAAATTAGTCAAAACAAGCGGCTGGTCTGTAACACAAGCCGTATAATTAAATGTGAAACGAGTTAAAAATACAGAAACCGCACTAAAGTCCAATACAAATAATTGAAACAGTCATTTTTTTTTCCGACATGTGTCTCCTGGCACTACATAAAATGCACCAGTCCTGTGCAGGTTTCGCCTACACTGTTTTCATTAATTACGTTGTATTTTTTCTCATCGAAGAACCTCTTCGTAAATCCTTGATCATTATGTTTAATTTTCACTCGACTGTTCACTATGCTGTCAACAAACTTGATCAAAATGTACAGGGTCACGAGAAATATCTTGACACAGTATAAACAAAACTCCATAAAAAGCGTATTTTCCTCAGTTCTGGTCTTTTGTCTTCACAGTGTCAAAGTATGTATCGATATATCAATAACACAGCATGCGCTTGTCCCATCTTATTCCTTTGAAGCCGCGATGATCTTGATCGCTTCATCAGATTCTGAGCTTCGAATATTGCACTTTTAGAGTTCAGATTGGTTCACTCAATTCACTGAGGTGCTGCTCGCTTAATTTCTTTTCTCGATCACCTCCTCCGCTCGGTTCCACAAAACAGAGATTTAGTACAAAATACTGTGTTCAATTTCATTGCTTCCGCTGTCGATGAGCTAACACTTAGACGCAATTGGATGCTTGTCTCGGGAGTATTTTAACTCGTCTCGTATTCTTGGAAATTTCTTAAATTTGAAATTATTGCATTTCGCTTGAATATTCAGAACCGGCTGTCTAACTTACTAAGCGTTGGATTTTGAATCGTATAACAATGCCTCTGTCTTATTTTTCGGTTGGTTTCAATTTGAAAAATAATATTTAAAAGTGGTTAATTTGGCTAAAGCGATAATTCCATTTGCGCTGATTGGATACGTTACCATATGTTGCTTAATGATAAAATGTTTATCAACCGGTTTGCAGTTTTTCATAATGAATTGTCAGATATTAAGTCAATAACTCAGCTCGTGCAAACTCCATTTTCCATGGATGCCGCAGCGCCATCTGTTCTCACTTGCATGTAAGGTTATGCGTCGATCATCCCACGACATCCCTTAGTAGGGCAACCCCCCGGGAATCTTAAATTTTGAGGACTGGCTCGTCCAAATTTCCCATAGTACAATCCACAACAAGTCTCCAAGTTGTCTCCGCCAACCTCTGTACCAGATGAGTGGACCAAGTGTTTCGATACAAAGAAATAAAGCTATGAGGCTTAAATACACAACCTCCTTAGACGATTTTCCAACCTAATCATGTTTCGCGCGATTGTAGTTAGAAAAAGAGATAAAAAAAGATAAAATTCAGAAGAGAACTAAAAATATCTTCGACAAACACTTAGCCCAATCAATCTAAGTTTAACCTCTTTCAAAATGAATTACAAAATGTTAATACCAAAATGGACTTCCCTAATTGTGGAAATGAGCTAGCAATTTTTGTCCAAACAAGGAAAATTTTTCCCAGCACAACAGGACTTATATTTTCAGTGAAAGAAATTCAAGCTCGTTCCACGTTTCGCCACCATGCATTCGTATGCACGTCTTCAGAGAGAATGAGTCATCAACCAATTCTAAATTGCACATCCCATCAACTAAATTAGTGTGACTGCAATTACATCGTCTGCAAATATTGGAATAAAAGGCTCGGGAAGAGCTGAACACTCATGACTTGCCCTCTCAACTACTTTGAAGTCGCGGAGATTCACACGAGGAAAGCACTGGCTGTGATTAAGCAATTCAAGGTGCATTTTGTCCGTCACGGGATCCCCGAGGTAGTTATCACTGACAATGGCTCAGCATTTGCCAACGAAGCATTTGCGAAGTTCGCCACTGAATGGAAGTTCGAGCACGTCGAGCCCGCGATACCCACAGTCAAATGGGAAAGCGGAAAATGCTGTCAAAACATGTAAAGAACTGTTCAGGAAAGCAAAGGAGGACGAGAAAGATCTCTTACTGGCAATTCTAGATTGGCGAAATACTCCAGAGATAGCATTCGCTGGAGACGCTTTGGTGCTACACACAGTTCTTACCGGAAGATAAACTCGAGGGGCTTGTGTTCTGTTTGTATACGAACAGAATCACGGCCATAAATGTAGGCGTCAAATTTCTCACAGGTAAAGACTATCGCCGAAACTTCCTTCTCAATCTGTGCATAGTTTTCTTCCGTATGGGTTAAGGCTCGTGAAGCATACGCCAATGGCTGCCCACCTTGAAAAATTTCAGGCGCATTCCAAAGGGCATCTTTGTCCAGCGATAACGACCAAACGGTGTGTTAAATGTGGTTAGGAACGATGACTGCTCGTCAAGAACAACGTGCCAGAACCCACAGGAGGGAATTTCTTAACCAACTGGTCTGCGGACAAAGCAGGCTCGGCAGCGGACAGAAAAGGCTCGGTTAGTGCATCATGCGTATACACGTCACCATCAGAGGTCTGGGGATGATTCAACCAGTCATTGTCCAAGTACTTGATGATTTTCATTCCAAGAAGAGCCTTCCTGCCAAGTATAGGTCTGAATCTTTAGCTGTCCACCAGATTGCAATCAAGAAGACATGTGAAATCTCCACGCCAAACTCTAAGACGAACTTTACCAAGAAAAGGAATCGAAGTCCCACCATACGAAATAATTGCCGTGCTTACTGGGGCCACATTAAATAAGTTTAAGTCTCTTGTCGCTTTCTTATACAGATGCAAAGGGACCACGTTATATTGCGCTTCAGTGTCCGGCTGAAAACGAAGAAAATTTCCTGACTCCAATTTTAATGTTACAAGCTGCGAATCATCTAGATTCTCTCCACGCCAAAAGCTTCGTCTGATAATTCATCCCCCGATAAATGAACACGACTGCCTCGCTGCGACGGTTTATGCGCTGATCCAAAAACACACGTTCGCGAAATTGCTTTTCTTGTTACACTTTTGACACTTTTTTCCGAATGCTGGACAGTTTTCACGCTTTGTCACATCATGCATACACCCACAAAAATCCCACGTTTTCACTCGGGAGTCAGCGCCTCTAGTGAATCGACCACGCCTCTTTTTCCCTGATTTAGGCTTTTTAGAAAAGGCATTTACATCGCTCGGATCTGTGTCCCTAATGCTGGCACCTCCAACAACTTTCATATGTTGAATCATTATCTCGTGCGCCGGAAAATTTCATCATTTTTCTGCAGTGACAAATTCTTTTTGCGAAGCAGTCTCTCTCGTACCTTTGAATCCTGAATTCCGAAAACAATCTTGTCCCATAAAATTTGATCTACCGTAATAGTTTCAAATTCGCATCGATCGGCTAACTGTCGTAGGGTTCTCTCCGATAATGGTTATACGATGCTCCCACTTCTTGCATTCTCGAGTAAAACTTTTATCTTTCAAAAGAAACATTCTTGAGCGGCTGGTAATAAGCAGCAAAACTCTCTAACAGCGGCTCATTCTGTCACAGTTATCATCGCCAACCGTAAACGTCGAGAGAACTGTTCTAGCCTCGGCTCCGATCACCGGAAGCGACGTCGCAATTTATACGATCTCGGGTTCCTGATGCACTTTCATAGCTACCGAACAAGTTTTCCATGCTTGCTCAAATTCATTCCAATTTTCTGCCGCGTTTGAATAATGGATATCAAGCGGTGCTGGTGGTGATAAAGCAAACAAGGCTCTACTTCTCGCGCTTGAAATATCCGAAGACGAACTCTAGGACTGCTCAGCTTCTCCGCCTCCCGCCATTTCAGCAAAAATAGTTTACGCAGGTTCGGTGGCCTGACACCATATAACGAACGGTATAGTATAATATTCACGTTATAACAAGCAGAATCCATTAACTGTTTTAATGCAATAGTTGATCAACCTTAATACGCATAAAAAGAGAAGCCTCGTCTCTGCTCTGTTGTGTGGAAAAACACTTAAAGTGCTACGTCTCATTTGATAACCGTAAGCAAATACACTTCCAAACAGTCTTAAGAATGTGGGTTATTGTGATAGTTATGAGCCAGAAATCCTTGTTGATTTTTGAATGCACGACGGACAAACACTCTTGTGAATCTTTTGATCAGGAATACTTTTTGAGCAAAACTGCTTTTGAAAAATTTAGTTTATCTCTTTCAATATACTGAAATATGGTCGGAATTAAACTCTTGACGCACGAGTTTTTCTCATTTGCTGCTCGAAGATGAATAACACTTGCTATTCAACTCCGAAGTGGCCAATCAGCGCCCGCGAAAAGCACTATTCTCTTGTGTGGTATATACTAATACTAATTATTATTAAATCATTAGTTTTCGGTACTCATCAGGGGGCCGGAGATAGTTGCAAGACGCGGGAATGGGATCGTAATTTGTATCCTTCAGTCGCTTATAGGGTTAGGCATTCTACGGTCAGCCTTCGCCAAGTAAAACTGTTAGCTTTCGTTTCCTCATAATTCATTATTTCTTTTATGTGTTATCATGTTGGCATCTTGTTTCAGTTTAATGTGTACTCAATATCCTTCCGTTATAAAATTACTTTTTTATCATGTGCACACCATGTTTTACATAGGACGCCCGAAGTCCCGACGATGGTACTACTACCTTGGTCGAAGTCACCCGTTCTCCTTTTTCACAACTTCCAGCTTTTGGGGAATTCGTGTCCGGCTTTGATGCATTTAGCCTTCCCCAATCTCAACATACATTTTGAGAATATGGAAGCTACCGTAATGATTCGATTTAACGCCCGGATATATATAGCAAGGTGGCTTGGCTGGACAACGCACTAAGATATCATTACTGTGTGTGACTGTAGAGTAGCAGAGACAAAATGGTCATAAAAGGCATGTTAAATGTGTATTAGCCCTCGTTAGGCATACTCTTGATCTCATACTCAATTCGGAATTGCGATCGATTTTTTTTCACCTTCGAAGGCCTTTTACCATATTAATACTTGGATTCAGCCGATGTGTCATTTGACAATGTTTTACGTGTCATATTGCGCACTTGAACCGAGTGTCATTTTAATGGCTGGCGCGCCCTTTTTCTCATTTGAGTCGTGTGCTAGTTTACTCAAAAGCGTGCCATTTTACATGTTGCTGTTCTCGACAAACTTAATGAGTGATTGAAATTTACAAGCGACGAGGAAACTTGAGATATCAGCAAACATATTTCTACACATCATTGACTTACAACCACAATATTGACTGCGACTCTGCGCAATGCTTAACCTAGAGCGCCAACTGCTTTCAACGAATGATTTTGGAAAGCTGGTTTACTAAATTAGAACGGACTCCCCTCAACAGGTGTTAACCACCACCGGTACCATACACACGACTCATTCACGATATTAACATTACAGACGAACAGTGCGACATAACTTAACGACCTAACTTTACCGACGGATCCAGACCGACCAATCACGACCGACCTACGCCACTTGAGTCTTACAGCCAATAACATCACGGCAAAACTGACCAATCAGTTTATACGAGGGGGACTTAGAACATTCGACTGACAAGAACTATTCACTTGACTCGGATGAAGACTTCCGCTCATGTTGATGAAACCGGGTCAGTCACTTCTGACGACAACAGTCCTTCTCAGGACCACACTCACCCGGACGATCAAAATACACTATTAAACTTAGTATTGTTCGTCTTGACACACGCCTTTGTTTTTATCGTGCCATGCAAACAAAGGAAAGATTTTAATAAGTCGTGCTATCGGACATGCACGCCGCTCAGAAGCCGCCGTGTCATTTGGCACCAAAGTGCCTATCGTGTCATTTCACCATTCCGTTGCGTTCACCTTTAAAAACGTTTTCCCATTTAGAATCACATTTGATACTTTTTACAAAATTTCACTTATTAAAGTATTTCTTCGGTCTAGAAAAGAAATCATTGAGTTTGAAAAGGTTTCAGAAGTCAATGAGGTTTCGGTGGGGGAGGGGTAAATGCTCGACACTCCCATCAAAAAGACATCCGTAAATGAGCAACTTCCGACGGCTTCTTATCTGTTAATGTTAATTGCAATTTTAAGCACACGAAAGCAAAGCCATGTTCGTTTTCTGTCATAAATTTTTAATTTAGGTTAGCAGCTTCAAAAAGGGATAATTCGCTAGTTGATGATACAACGTAAATTACTTTATACTTACAGTTCTTTTAACTCTTTCAAGTTGTTGAATATTCCCTTCGGTAACATCTTCAGTTCGTTTCTATTGACTGATCTATGAAGACGATAAAAACTACAAATTATAGCCCAGCAAAGTTTTGATTATTATGCTACTGATCCTTCTTTGCCTTATTCTACTGAAACATGTTTCAAATTTTTCACTGTTGTGTTAATTACAGAGCTTTGTCCTGGTTTGTGAAACCAAAAAAAAAACCTTAGTCTTAATTTTTCCAATTCGTCACGTGACCTGTGTTAATCTTTGCGATCCTTGACCTTTCTGGTTTTTTCTGGCCTCTTTAGTTTTTTGCTGCATTCGTAAAGTACTGTATTATTTTATGGTTTCCTTCTTCTACAGACAGTACCCTTGAGCAGTTTCGACTAACTAAAGAAATAAAATATTTGCTGAAGTGCTTTTTACTATCTGTTTATCTAAAGAAAATTGGCATGGGGAGTCACGATAAGTGGCAGCGCAGTGCCATTACCTTTTCAATAAATGTATTGTTACACTGCCTAAAGTATCATAATGTCGCTGGTTGTTGTTTACCGCTGGCTCTAAACGACGACGGCAGCGACGAAGACGTAGTTATTTGTAAATTGCTCATTAGGTTATTCATTAAAATTTGAAATGTTTAAAAAGAAACAACGTAAACGCCATACTAGAAGTATCTGCCGATCATTGTGGCAGCATGGTAAACTAAAAATTCTTTTATTCAGATTGTTTCCAGGCCTCTTCAAAATAATTGTTCCTCAGAGAGAGAACAAAATAGCGTATTGTTGTTAACAAATTCTTGGCCCCAGCAACTCCTACATCGACCAAACTGTCCCAATCAACTTAGCAATCATATCAACAAATAACAAAATCGAAAGGAGCCCTTACATAGTAAATTGCAAATAGGTCAATATATTTTCAAATAAAAGTGTGCGTGACCAGAAACTTTACCAAATAATTTCTACTCTTAGAAAATAAAAATTAAATAAAAAAAAACATAACCACTCACAACATTTCCAAAGACTTTAAGGTCCTGAATATTCCTGGATGAAGACTGCTTAGTTTGTTGTTGTAGATATACCTGTGATTTGATTGGAACGATTGTCAAAAACGCAAATAGCGCTCTTTGTTTTCTGTTATGAAGCAATCTTAAAAAGAAACCCGACTTTCCAATCATAGTCTAAAACCCCAACGCTTTGGTAGCATCATAAATTGCAGCACATTTGGAGCTTAGAAGTAGGTAAAGTAAAACTTAATTTAGACAGGATAGCCCTTTCAGCTCGAAAGCTGATATCCATAGGGGCCATGTATCGAAGAAC